CCATCTCGATGCGCTGCGGCAGCGAAATAGTAGCGTGAGCAAAACATTATAAAATGTTTGGTATGATGGATAGATATTCACGTGTGCACCTCCTGCAACAGCCGAGCGTTCGCCGCCTCCGCCATTACACCCAGTGCCGCCATCGACTCGGAGAAAAATGGCAAATAGAAAATCAAACTTCCTCTATCCCGAAATAAAAGGCCAAATCCCACTTACAAGGTATCCACTGTGGACATATTTCGGATCAGTTGTCAAATTAATAATTTTGTGTATATATCGACATATTTCGGGCCAGGACATCACGATATGACCGTCTTTGGTCGACGGGACTGCTGTCGCCGAACTCTTTCTTACCAGCCAGCTCCGCGTCCTCGATGATGCCTCTGCTTTCTCTTTTGCTCGCTCCGCTGCCCGTGCTTCCTTTGCATTTCGTTTCGACATTTTATCCTGCTCTCGTTGAAACGTCTTTTTCGACTTGCTTGTCTTATTTATCGTGTAGATTCATATCCTGTTTGGCAAGCTTCCCGACCAAGGCAGACTTCTTATTAGCTTCCTTCTGTGCTTTTACAGTGGCTTTCACCTTTGCAGCCGCCAGCATCATGTCGTAGCTTAAAAGCTCGCCACCAGAACAGTTTTCATCAACCCACTCGCCTCGTGTCCGTTTTTGCGGAGTCGGTGCAGGTAAAGCGGACGATAGAAGATTGACAGCGCTAAGCGCGTTGAGGTTGAGGTCTCGCTCGCGCAGAGCTCTCTTTTGGCGCTCCGTTACAACGAGTCTGACTGTTGCAGCGGTATTATGCCCCCAGATTAATGAAGAGATGTGGTAGTATGTCACTTGAAACAGGAGGATCGTTGCCAACAGTTCCGGTCATCATTCTGACAGGTGACAGTGGATACACGCCAGCCTTCTCGAGCATTAATCAGGCAACACGCTTCAATCAACGGCAGACGAGAGAGCTCCGAGGCACGAGGCCATGAATCCGCTGCCGAAGAGGCTCGCACGACACTCTGTATGTCGTTGCAGCCGTTTGCAGCGGCGTGCTGTCATTTACCGCGGCGATTGATGCTAGCCAGGTCCTGGCATAGACCTTCTTTGGGCCCTTGCCCTTCTTCCACTTAACAGTCTTCTCCATCAAGGGGGGGGGAGGGGGGGGGGCTCTTTGTGGATCAGCTTCTTTGGCAGCTGACGTCGAATAGACACGCGCAATAACTCTCGAAAAAATAATTGCCTCTCCTTTCAGATATGGATGAATAACATTATCTCTCCGACGTATCTTACTTTTAGTATGTTGCGCACTAGCCAATGATAATCGTTTCTTATTCTTCATATTGCATTAAGCGAATCAAATTGCTTCGAGAATACAATTATATCCAATTAAAACTATAGTTTAGGGTGCAGTCGGAAGCTGAGCGATTCCGACGTATCTAGTCGGAGTTGACGACCAGATATGTGTATAGTAATACTTGCTAAAGGTTTGCCACGTATCACCTGCATATTTCTACCTCTCCGACCAAGAACAGTGAGCCTGAACGACTTGAAGCCCGCCAACACAAAGCGCGCGCGTACGACGGCTTTAAAAGCGTTTGAGCGCTTCCTGTCTTTAGAGAATACTACCATGGAGCACGTCGTGGCTTTGATCGTCGCAGACTCTAGTCGCGCGAGTAGTATACTAGTGACTCTAATGGACAAGTTTGGTGTGTACCTGACATTCCACGCAGGAGCAAAGGGGCAGCCTCTGTCGCGCCACTCCGTTGCTCAATACTTCCTCCAGGTCAAATGCTGGCTTTTGGATGAGTATCCTGTTCAAGGTGGCGCTGTAGCACGACAGCTGCTCAGCATGGGGCGTACCCTTGAACAGCACTGCATCAAGCGTGAAAGTGGTGGGTTCGTCAAGAAGGCTATTGCGTGCACAAAAGAGGATCTCAAGAAGATGATACGCTACTTATATTCAACGGCTCGCTGTGCGTCGGACTACCAAGATGCTGCGTTGTTGTGCCTCCTGTGGTACCTCTTCGGCCGTGCATCAGACATTACGTTCGTCCGGAAGCAGCAGCTCTCCGTCGGAGCTGGAGGGGTTTTCTTTATCCGATTCATCCGCGTGAAGACGTCCGATGAGCAGTCACTGTCACTTTTTCCTGACGCTGACTTCATGACTTGTCCGCTGCTAGCGCTCGCGCTGGCCTTGATTACGCAGGAGTCTCCGTGTGCAGCGTTGCTAAGCCATTTGCCGGTGAGGTCGAAGGACGTTCCTGTTGACCTAGCTGCCTCGATACCATTACTGGAACTTCTTGACGACAATAGTGCCCTGAATTCTTCTCAGACGTCGCCAGGTAGCACCACTGTTCACGCGACACCAACAGTTGGAATCCACGCTCTTGTCAACCGCGTGCTCGATCGCGTTGCTGGTCCTGCTGGAGTCGAAGTGTCGCTGACGTCACATTCGTTTCGTCGTGGCGGCGCGCAACACGCGAACGCAGACTCAGAGCTGGCAGCTCAATGGATCTTTGATCGCGGAGCTTGGAACTTGACTACGACTAACAAAGCCTTTGCGTACGTCTTCAACACCCCTAAAGAAGATCATCAAGTTGCTAAGGTGCTGAGTGGGATGACGCCAAAGCAAGCATCTTCTCTCCCGTCCCTGGAATCCTTCGACGCTGCAACACTAGAAAAGGTTAGAGAGGTTAGCCGGAAGCTTTTCAGCTCGAGCCATGATCTGGGTAACAAGGCCTTTAACGTCTGCGCTGTTGTGATAGATGTGCTAACAGCAACCCTCCTCCTCCACTACCCGTCGTTAGTGAAGATCAACGCGAAGACACCTGCACTGAAGACAATTCACCTATGTGCGGAAGCCTCTGGAGTGACGACGACCAACCTGCTTGCATGGTCACAACGGCTCACAGCGTCAAATGAACACGCCAATACCACCGCCGAAGCCATGACTGAAGAAAATGTAAAGGCCAACGCTGCGTTGAATTATCAAACTGCCTTGATTGAAAGGTTAATTGAGGTCAGCCGTAGCCTTGAAGCTCGAGTTAACTCGCTAGAAGCTGCAATGAACAACACCGAAGGGGAAACTTTAGCACGAGATAATCAAGCCAAGCGAGTAAGAGACGAAGATGAAATCGTACCAGTAAAGCGTCGCCGTCGATCCAAGACAATACCGCTTGTTGACACGTGGTTTGCGTGGTACACGGCTGTTCCGCGTGGATGGCAGAGTACTAATAAGCACAAGAAATCGGATTCCAAGCAGCTCGTGGCCTTCATGAGGCTCTTCATCGAAGACGGGTACGCGCTCGACGAGTTATCATCCAGCTACAAAGATACAGTACGTCAGCTCGGAGAGTTAGCGTCAAACAAAGTCACAGTGTTCCTAGGCGAGCAGGGCGTACCGTCAAAGGGATCCAACGCTGTGCTTAAGATTCTTCGGCATATGCACCGCGAAGGCAAGCTGAATAGTCTCATCAGTGCCTACCATCAGCGTTTTACCATCGGCAGAGTTGTAGACCCTACACCAACACAGCACCAAAGCATGCTCAAGCTGCTCCCGTAACACAATCCAATCTCTCTGTGTCCTTGTAGCTGGTTCTTATATCATGTCAATCATGTAGAGACCTGCAAGGCATTCGAGCATAAATTTTTTACCAATGGGTGGATTTGAACCACCTCCTTCCCTTTCGGGAGCTCTACCATTGAGCTACATCGGTGGGGGTTAGACAACAACAGCACAGGGATACTCATCTGGGTGCTCGACGGGGAAATTAACGGTGATCCACTGTTTCTTTTGTGGCCGCGACATACCCTCTTAGGTGTACCGGATGCACGGGTACGCCCCCCTCAATTCACCGTTCCAGGTGGTCAATCGTGCACTGAGCTTGCAGGGCAAAATGGCGCAGTCAATATTGCACCGGCGCCACTCGTTTACGAGGAGTAATTACGCTCAATGAACCAATTATAAAGTTTTGCGATACGTCGGATCGGAGTCGGAAGGTGCTTGGCTGGTCGGAGTCGTTATGATATGGTGTGCTGGCACTGTTGAGCGCATTTATCTAGCGTCGCAGTTTGCAGGTTTACGACTTCAAACAACTGCAACCATTTGCAGTTTTCCATTTCAATCGGCTTTGTCTGTGTCGCAGTGAAATACCAGAACAAATACGTATCAGTTTTAAAGCCTGCCATCACTAGTGGCTTTTAAGTACGGATGGGAGGCCGGTAAAAACGGTGTAAAATTCAATATTTTAAACTACCACGGTGTGTCCTCAAATACGTTCTGGAGTGCCCAGTTCTAGCTACTCTTTAAGAGCAGTTTTCTATCTAGCTCAA